AATACTGGTACCATCAGAACTGGAACTCTTCGCTTGCTGCTGAAGATGTAGACTGAGCACTTATGGGAGTGTCCTGAGTGCTGTGATCTCGATTCTCAATTCCACATTCAAGTCACTTGTTCATAACTCTGACGCTGATAAAGATATAGCAACGACATTTGAAGTGGACTTACCTCCGTTCATGCAAAGTCGGGCGTCGTCATGAACAAGTGCTGGAAATGGCTGCCATTGGCGTCTCGGCAGCAAAACATCGCGTGCCCCTGTGTCGCACCAGTGTATCAGCTTTCCCTGTTTGCCGCCGGTGTCTCGCGTCAGTCTTACAATGACAACTTGCGCACTGGGACGAACTTTCTACAACAAAGAACGCCGCCTAAAGTGCTGCCTGGACGCCAGTGGTAGCCATTTCCAGCATCTCAGCCGGCTTCTCAATAATGGAGGTGAGTGAGAACCCGACTCACAATTTGGTTGCCTTATCTTTTTTTTTTTTTTTTTTTTAATGTCTGTGTTAAAAACGAAAATCTTAGTTCCGCATGAAACACCTGCTAAAATCAGTAGGTAGGTAGGTAGGTAGTTGTACCCCACCAGGACATCACACAAGCGATACACACCCGGTGACACAAAGTGCCACCGTGCGGGCAGGATCACAGTGGACTGGTCCCAGAAACCCATTTTCAGTTGTTAGTCGATATCCATGGCTAGACCATATCTATGCCCTGGCTATATTCACACACCCCCATGAAGAAGCCAGAGTGGAGCCTCGATTAAAACAATGCATCCCACAAGGGGACAACTTTGTAAAATAATACAATCAGTACTCAAATACCTAATTCATTATCGACTGAAGAGTGCAGTTTACTAAGTGAAACATCTGAAGAAAAAACAATGGAAAGTATTGTACTGAGAATTGAATGTTACAGATTACCTCTGCGAATATGGGCACTTTGGACTCGAATGTGAGAAGGCGTGCAATTGCTTCTTCCAAGAGGAATGTCTGATGTCCACAGGGAGTTGCAGTCAAGGCTGTGCTGCAGGCTACCTAGGGGAGGACTGTACCACACGTAATCAAGTCTTCTGTGTCTGCTTCTCCTCGGTGTTTTTGTTGTTGTTGTTGGGGGAGGGAGGAGGGGGTTATTTGGTAATTGAAAGACATTTACAAAGATGGGGCGTAACAATATAGGCTTAATAACATAGGTTCTAACTGCTAGCAATACACATAAATCTTCTTCTTATCGTTCACTAGCTGTACAGTCTGGTCAAAAGTTCTAGTGGTTCGTCCACTTTTGGACTTGGGTCTTGTTCTAGAACCTGAGTCTCGCTGCAAATTCGTTTGACTTATCTGGAGTTTTGACATGCAGACTACTGGTTCCTTGCCTCTCAGGCTGACGTTCCCCATCTTTAAGGAAAACAAGCATTTTTATTCGCCTCTTGCGACACGTTTATTAGATGGTCCTGGGTCTATTCCGCCCCACCACCCCTTTCCATTCTCTAACGGAATCTCAGTATTCGCATGGAAAACATGGGTATCAATCGAATGAGGATCATGGTGATCATGGGCCTCTGTACTATTGGTATACACTAATGGCAATATACTGGATGGCCCGAGGTTAGTGTACCTGTTATCTAGTGTGTCCTGCTGTCTCGTATGACCTATATTATGGCTCGCATTCTTTGCAGGCTATTTGATTGATAGTTTCTGCTGCCCTCTCCATAGTTCTGGTGAGACTGTGCCTGTGGGGCTAAGACCTTTTGAATGCCCCTCCCCCAACACACCACATCCCCCCCCCCTTGCATAATTGCTCCCTTCCTGCGAAAGTTTAATTCACCTAAATGCCTACCACTAAACAGCAGTCCTGGCCGATTCCAGCTGCTCACACACACACACACACACCTGAGATGCTTAAGGAAGCAGCCAGAGGAGCAAACACATATATCCAACAAAATCATTTGATTAGGTTTTCAGGGTTCTTAAAAAGACACACAACTAACTTGATAGAACGTAGACAGTGTTGTCATTTTTAGGTTAGTTGGACGTTAGTCTTCTCAAGTAGAGTAGGTCACTTTTCATTTACAAGTTTGTAGGGCTGGTCGACTTTCCTCAACGTTACAGGTACGTCCCACTCTGTTGTTTAGTTTCTGCGATGTCTTGCATTTACGTTTTCATTCTGAGAAAGAGAATGCCTGTGCCATAGGTTGCAGCACTCTCTAGGTAGGTTGTGTTAGACCCAGTTTATTCATGTTTTTGGAGTGTTAAAAGCCCTGGCGTGCTGAAATATACAACACGCGATATCAACGACATTGCGGAACACCCCTGTAATCGTGTGCGAAGGCCACAGGGCTCAGGAACTACCAATCAGAGGTGAGCTAGTGTGTGTCTTGGGAGACTAACGTTCAACTAATTCAATTGACATTGAGATCAGTTCAGAGAAAAAAAAACAAGAAATTCAAGAAAAGACACTATTCAGAAGTCAGAAAGAAATAACATCTGAGACGCTAGAGGTGCCAATTACACTTAATGAACTGGAGTTGGCCATTTCAAAGCTAAAAATGCGGAAGTCACCAGGGGAAGATGGTATATCTAACGAATGATCAAAAACTTAGGACAAGTGGCAAAAACAATGCCTGTACAGTTATTTAATGCTTTCTGGGCAACAGGAAATGTTCCACATTCTGGAGAGAGGCAATTATGATACCCCTCATAAAGCCTGGGAAAGATAGTTCCAATGCCTCCAACTACAGACCGATCAGCCTTACAAGTTGTCTCTGCAAAACAATGGAGCGCATCACCAACCTCAGACTACAATGGTACATTGAAAGTGAAAACATCATTACACCACAGCAGGCGGGCTTGAGAAAGTTCTACTCCACTGAAGACCAGACGACATACCTCTTTCAAGAAATAGAGGATGCTTTTCAAGATAAGAAACGGGTATTCGCGGCATGGATAGATTTAAGGAAAGCTTTTGACAAGATTTGGAAGAAAGGCCTTCGAAGAAATTGAGCAACTATAAAGTAAATGGAAGAATGTACAATTGGATTAAAGCATATCTACATAACAGAAGATCCAGGGTAAAGGTAGATGGTTTCAAAATTAAAAAGGTTCAACTGCGATGTGGCGTCCCTTACGGTGGTGTCCTGTCGCCCACACTGTTCCTCTTATTCATCAATGACCTAGTTGCTGAAATACCAAATGGAATCAAAATGGCAATGTATGCCGACGACCTGGTACTGTGGTGCATCGATGAACATGCAACGATAGCCACAAGAACACTACAGCGGGCTACAAATGCACTTGAGGCAAGGGCGACTAGATGGTGTGTCAGCATCAATACAGACAAATGTAGCACCACACTCTTCACTCTCTCCCCACAGCAAAAAAGCGGGCATCATCAAAATAAACGGAATACCCCTAAGAGATGATAAAGAGCTCAGCTATCTCGGATTCACATTTGATGACAGGTTGACATGGAGAAAACATATCAACAAGGCAGCAACCAAAGCCAGGAGGAAGACAGCCATACTAAGAAAACTAAGTGGAACCACATAGGGAGCCAGTAGAAAATACTCAATAAAGTATACAAGCAGAGCATACAACCACACTTGGAATATGGGTCAACTGCATTGTGTTCAGCATCTAGTACCACATTAAAGGAGTTAGACAAAGTGATAAATTAAGCACTCAGAGTCATTACATGAGGGATTAAATCGACTCCCATATTAGAAAGTGAGAAAGCTGGGGGAAAAACAGGCACTGAGAGAACGCAGAGAAACAAAGTTGCAGATTCAAGCTGAAAAGTTCCTCAGTATGCCAGATCACCCCATGAAAAATAGATTTCAGAACCTAGCCTTGGGACAGTTAAAAAGAAGCAGCTTTATACATCAAGCAAAAATAATATGTAGACAAACTGCTGACCTTTCAGAAATTGGTTGTCCACTTAACAGTATTCCAGAACAAACCCCATGGCGAGAGAAATGCAAACTAACAGTGCAAATCCAGACAAATGATAAAGGAATATTTGACAAGAAATAACAAGATAGTGTACAACGCAGAATGGCCACCCTCAGTTATATTGATGAAGAATACCCACAAGAACAATAGGTCAGAGTCTATACAGATGGGTCGGCAGAAAGTGCAGTTAGAAATGGTGGTGCTGGAGTGTACATAGAATTCCCAGATGGTACTAGGGATAAGTCCAGCGTACCAACCGGAAAGTTCTGCCATAACTATGATGCAGAAACTCAGGCTATCAAGAAAGCAACAGAAAAACTGCTAAATACCAATCTGGGCTCACAGTATGTGGTAATGCTGACAGATGCAAAATTAGTACTTGAAGCTCTCCAGTCTAGGAAACTACCAGAATTGTAAACCATGCTGACACAACTTAGCCTTCAGCGAAAAGTCGTAATGCAGTGGATACCATCACATTTGAAATGCTTGGAAATGAGAATGCTGATCAACAGGCAGGAGAAGGTGCGACAAAAGTGCAGCCGGATGTACCAGTTACATACCTACCAAAAGAAAAAAATCATTAAATCAATCA